GGCGTAACCAGTTTCACAATGGCAGTGTTTGTAATCGCAATTCGAGTTATATTTTTCTGTACTTTTGTCATATTGGAAAATTATAAATGAAGTTGTCACAAGAAAGAAAGCTGGGCGCTAAATTATTCAGAATTTTAAAACAAAATAATTTTAAAATCGATGCGATATTTAACAGGGAGCCAGTTTGTAGTTTGGCTAAAATTGGAGTGATGCGTTCATGGATTCTCGTAGCTGTTAAAAGACGCGCAGCTGCATTTTGAATGAACTGAAGCCGGTAAAGAGACGAGTGTTGGAGGGCCGAGCAGAGGCAGTTACAGTCGTCCAGTGTGGATGTGTGGATCAGCTTTTCAAGGTTTGTACAGCCTCGTGTTTACTGAGACAAACAAAGCTGTTCATGCTGTAATCAGATACCAGATCAAAACTATTTTGAAGCATCAGGACCAAACATGGGGGGGTCTGTGCCACGTTCAGGACACTGGAGCATCTTTTTCCCCAACCACTCTACTTTGAGCTCTGGGAGCTGTGCTCAGTTTGACCCCGTCAGGTTTGTGTTATTCTTAAGCTTTATGAGCTGCAAACAAAACCCTGGAAGCTTTGTTTACTACCAGTGTCGTTGTTGTCTATTGTGTGTTTCGCTGCCGTGGCAGCTGGACAGATGTGTACCTGTACAGAGTATCCATCCATGCAGCTGCAGTACTTCTCCTTGATTCCTTTGTAGAGGTTCCAAACGTAGTTGAGGGTGTAGAAGAAGGAGGCCATGTAGAAAACCTGAAACAGAGTTTGTGATGAGACAAATCCTCGCTCACGTTCGCCGCGCTGATTTTCTAAACGGGTCACCTGACACCCCGCCCCCTTTTTCAGACTTTAATAGAGCGCGAGAGCCAAAAGGGGCAGCTGACCCGGGGTTGTTGCTCTGAGAGAGAGATGTGGGTCAGGGATGTTTTTCTGCTTCCAGGCTGTCCTGTCCTGGTTCTGCTGCCCCACTTCATCCCAGAATGACCCAGTTCAGGATCTGGTCATCTGGGCCAGAATAGCTCACTCGATAGATATTTGTCAACAGAGACGTCA